AGCTTTGCGCGAAATTCAAAAACAAACAAACAAATGGACTAGAAAAATATTCAAGATACAACGATCGATTACTATCGAATGTTCCCTTTACTAAGCAAAAAATAATTCATATTTTTCTTTTAATTGATGATTATGTAGTTGACCCTTTGTTCCAGACCCAGTACATAGAAGAGGTCACAAGATTTACAAGATCTAACTTCTGACATTAAAATTCTTTTAAATCTTAACATTTTTAAAGTTATTACAAAAGAAATGTTTTATAAAAAAAAAATAGTTCGATAAGTCTTCCGAAAGAGTCTTCATCTTGATGCAAATCTACTCGATCCCCTGCCATAAATATACAAGACACGTGCTGTCACGTGATTTATCCCTGGAAGACGAAACCTGAGAAATATTTGTGCGAGCGGCATGAGCGCGCAGGCGCAATATATTTTCCTAAAGTGGTGAGGCAGTCTGCATATCCTTCACAGAGACGAAAAGATGCTCGAAGGAACGCTCTCCGTCTATGCTTTTGGCCTTATTTTCCCTCTTGCCCTTGCAGGAGGACTACTGTTCCTAATTAGGTACTACATTAAGAAAACCGAATGGTGTGACAGTGACGAACGGTTAGATGGAAAGACAGTTCTTCTCACTGGTAAGATCTTTTTCTTTTAAAGTTTGTCTTTCAAAAATTGAAGTAAAAAAAAATGAAGTTCCAAGTATAAGAATGTTGGGGTTGTTGAATACTAATTTCGTTGTTAAAAAACAACAGAAGTTGAAATTACTCAATTTACTGTAAAAATCCAAGTGGAGAAAATTATATTGTTGAATGAAGTTGTGTAAGAATCTTAAATCCGATTAATTCTTTCCTTTCCGTGAGGTTCTTAAAACAAAATATTACCAGAATTTACCATGTTATACCATATTGGCTACGAAATATTTAAACATAATTTCTGCACCTTTTCGAGGTGAGAAAGCAAATTACAGATAGCACTTATTATCAGTATCTGTTTTCTCGTATATCTTTCATTCTGATGGAAACAATGTACGTGAACATTTGAACAGGGGGCTAGTGCCTATTTTGGCCCACTCTCCATACCTTGTTATAAGTTTACGATTTCCCTAATTTGAATTGAGTTTTTCGCCTAAATACTAAAGATGACTAACTATAAACCGTTAACGTTCCAAAATGAATTGTGCAGTTGGAGACACAAATAAAAAAAAAAGATAAAGAATAAAATTAAAAACAAAAAGGTCAAGGTCATAATGCTCAATTTAACTTTTTTTAAAAAATAATTTTCATAATAAACGCAACTGCTACATTTATTGTAAGATTTATCCGGGGGAGTTTTCCCCTGAATTCCCGTAGTTTGGACTTCTGAAAACTTGGGTTAATTTCTACCCCCCCCCCCCCACCACATACACACAGAAAATATGCTTCTGTCGCTTATGATCAGCCTTCTTCACCATAACACTGTAATAACGAATATACTGTTTCAATACTATACACATCCAATGTAAAGTGTTCCAAAGAATTGCAACGAATACTTTTTTCAAGAAAAACATACAAAATTACGCATTTTTCGGGCAAATAAAAAAAGAATAACACGCCTGTTGTGTAAGTATTTTTTTCAGTCTTATGATTTATGTCTGGTAGTAATTGGCTTTATATTTATATTTATATAAAGCGGGAATGTTTTTACTTTAACAATTGTTATGGTGTGAAGGGCTTTTACAAGCTGCGAATCATGATTATAACTAACTATACTTGTCATAAGATATTATTTTAGGCCTATTATATGTTTTTAACAGTACGTTCTAGTTCCTTGGGGTTGAAATACTATTAATTTACACTCTTCTGATTCTTGAAAATTTCTAAGGGATTACATTTAAAATGTAGTGTTAATAAATATAATAGACCTAACATAATGTCTTATGACAAGTATAATTAATTGTTTTTGAAGACTGATAACGTAGGTAAATAATACGTAGAATTATAAGCGGACTTTTCTGTACGTTAAAATTAATTGTTTTCTTACTTTATGAGGACTAGACTTAACAACTTGCCGATAAATAATCTCAATATAGAAGAATGCAACACAGAATATGACAACAAATATTTAGTTAAAATATTGTTTTTGTGACATTCTTACTTACTGGTTGTGACAGAAAACTAGAGGGAACTTAGTTATTATTGTACACCTAGTGATAGCTGGTTTTCTTAAAATCTTAGAGGTTAAAACTAACACTGGGGAATGGCCTGAAATAATGATCAATATAACACAGTATCATAGTGAGACTGAAAATAAGTTCAAGTTCGTCGAAAGTCACATCGCATATTATTCTCATTTTAATGGACACGATTATAAATTGTTTATACCAATTAAAGTGTTATAATGTTTAGGATTGGATTTGCTGTAACAAACACCAACCAATGACAGTGGGTTAAATAAAATACGAGACTTTCAAATAAATGAATTTCTAGAATAACTTTTCTCACTCTGACTACGTGAGTGAAGCGGATGATCCGGTTAAGAAGGAATTAGAATATTTGCAAAATATAAAGCAAACATAAAAGTTCAGTCTGGAACCGACATAATATATATCTGATTATAAACAACCTACCTTATAAAAATCAATACAGTAATTTATTGAGAGAATTTTTTAACTTCTTATTTACGTAAATAGAAACCTCTCTTTTGGAAATAGTACAATAAGTAGTATTTCTAAAACAAAGGTTTCTATTTTTATCAAAAAGTTTCCAAAACTAAAACTTAAGCACCTGTAAAATGCACTTCTCTGTTTGACTAACGACTCTTGCAACAAAAAACAAAAACACCTCCCACTGAGATCAGGAATCTTTTTAAGGCTTTGTTGCATATTTTAAACAGTTAAATGCTACCAGACACGTGGACTTTTTTCTAGCTAGCTACGAGTCCTCTCTCATGCTTAGCACAAAATTGATAAGATTTTGATGTCTGTATGTAAATAAACGAATGAGCTTTTCTTAGTACATAAATGATAGATAAACACAAACTGGCGAAAGATAGTTTCATAACTGCTGGAAACAGCGGAGGAACTCGATCTATGGATGGCAAAGTCAGTCAGTTTGTATGGGTGGGTCTTTAGTGACTACCCATCAGCCTGTGTGGATAGTACATTAATCACTAAGTCCATCAGCCTGTATGCATGATACATTAGTCACTAAGTCCATCAGCCTGTGTGGATAGTACATTAATCACTAAGTCCATCAGCCTGTATGGATGATACATTAGTCACTAAGTCCATCAGCCTGTGTTGATAGTACATTAATCACTATCCACCAGCCTGTGTGGATGGTACATTAATCACTAAGTCCATCAGCCTGTATGGATGGTACATTAGTCACTAAGTCCATCAGCCTTTATGGTTGGTACATTAGTCACTAAGTCCATCAGTCTGTGTGGATGATACATTAGTCACTAAGTCCATCAGCCTTTATGGTTGGTACATTAGTCACTAAGTCCATCAGCCTGTGTAGGTGGTACATTAGTCACTAAGTCCATCAGCCTGTATGGATGGTACATCAGTCACTAAGTCCATCAGCCTGTATGGATGGTAATCAGGCACTAAGTCCATCCGTCTGTGTGGATGGTACATTAGTCACTAAGTCCATCAGCCTGTATGGATGGTACATCAGTCACTAAGTCCATCAGTCTGTGTGGATGATACATTAGTCACTAAGTCCATCAGCCTTTATGGTTGGTGCATTAGTCACTAAGTCCATGAGCCTGTGTGGATGGTACATTCATCACTAAGTCCATCAGTCCTGTGTGGATGATACATTAGTCACTAAGTCCATCAGCCTTTATGGTTGGTACATTAGTCACTAAATCCATCAGCCTGTATGGATGGTACATCAGTCACTAAGTCCATCAGTCTGTGTGGATGGTTCATCAGTCACTAAGTCCATCAGCCTGTATGGTTGGTACATTAGTCACTACGTCCATCAGCCTGTATGGTTGGTACATAAGTCACTAAGTCGTTCAGCCTATACAATAATTAATGTGATCATTAACAAGTATCTATGTACACTTTTCCAACGTCACGTCTTTAAATAAAAACATTGAGAAAAAATAAAAGACAAACCTGTCTAATGGTATGAGAAATAATAGTTGTCCAAACACTGCATTGGCAACATGGTGTTTCTTATTGTGCATCCGAATAGTTGACTGTTCTTCTTCAAGAGAACAAAGACCCCTTATTCTCCTGAAGAAGAATAGTCAACTGTTCGAAAGCGCTCGAGTTTTGGGTCTTATTTTAAGTTTATTACACTTTATATGTGATCCTTTCTGCTAACTTTTTTATCAAGATTCTTATTGTGCATCAGTAGTTTTTCAGAGGATTTGATCGTCGTCAGTAAAATAAGCCAGATTAAATTGGTGTCCTCACTGGCGGTTCAGATGCGTTTTAGTGGTGATATTTCTTTGTAGGAGGAAGTTCAGGGCTCGGTCGTGCCCTCTCTGTGGAATTGGCAAAGCGAGGAGCTCGAGTGGTGGTGGCGTGTCGAACTAAAGCCCGGCGAGACTCAACAGCTTTCTTTCTTCGAAGTAAAACAGGCAGCTTCAATGTTCGGGTCATGTTTATGGACTTGACCAGTCTTGACTCAGTCTGGGAATTTGCCCGGGAGTTCAATGAAAGCGAGGAAAGGTTGGACGCTATTATCAACAATGCTGGTAAGTAGCATGTATTGTATCTTATACCTAATGGTATTACTTACGGAAGTCAAGGTAACATAATCTTAATTAGTGGTTAATTAATTTCTAGGAGATGGAGTACCGGATTCCTGTTGAAAAGTTTGGGTATAAGTTTTGGAAGATAAAATTTTAAACATTATTTAGGCTACTATTTGGAATGACGCTCAAAGGAATAGTGCAATTTAGTGTTTTCCAAACTGTGGGGCGCGCCCCCCTGGGGGTGCATACTGATGGCGTGGGGAGAGCTTTTGGCAGGAGAGCCAAAAATAACGAAGGAAGAAACAGAAGAGCTGGAAACAACGATAACCTAACAAAACTATCACTTTGCTCTCAAAGCTTTTTTTTTCTTCTTTTTGTTCTCGCACTTACAAGCATTTTCTATTTTAATAAAACTTATTAAAAACAAATAAAGAAAATATTGATTTTTATGTTATCCCTTGCGAAAATTATTTCAATGTGAAAGAGGGGCGTAACGGAAACTTTGCTGAGTTAGAGGGACGTCGCTATTTAAAGTTAGGAAAACACTTATGTAGTTAACATATATATATATATACACGTCTTTTGAACTACATATATATTTGTTTGAGGAGACAGTGGAACTTCTTATAGGATAAAGTTCAAGAACAAAATAGTTTTTGACTCTGAGTGTTTACTAAATGAAAAAGTGGCACTTAATTTATTATAATTAAGATACACCATTTTGATTAGGCTTCGTTTCTCTATACATAGTGCATGGTAAAGAGCTGTTGCACAGATGTAAAGTAAACTTAACAGTGGATCTGTGGTTATGGACAAACGTTTGAAGAGATTAAAAAGAATAACATACGAAAGGATTTCTTCTCACAGTTTCTGTATTTCAGAAAGGATATCATAATGGCAGCGTTACAACATATCAGGTTAAGAAGAGTCTGTGAAGCACTTTGCTTTATATTCTGTGAATCATAGCTATAGTAAAGAAGCCTCCTGTCTATCCAACAATCAAATTTTATCCTGTAAAGAAAGAAACAATACATTTAAGACCAAAATTTAAAAGAATATTTTCATTTACAGACAAACAAGAGAATATGTTTAAAAACCTTTTTTTTTCAAACACTACGTTTTATTAGTTTTATCTAGCATCATCAGATGGAAAGGTTTCAATATAGAGGGTTGAGTACGTTATATAAAATATTTTCTATTGAGTAGGTTAGCAAATAATGTAAATTCCAATCGATTTAAATTTGCAGTAGAAAGGAATGTATCTAAACTACATTCTGATATTGTTTAAAGTGTCATAAAATGATCACTTTTTGGAAAGGGTATGAACAACCCTCTTCAGACGGAACATATTTATACACTCCGATCATAAGGATGTGTTTAGATCGTAGATTTAGTATTTATAAAGAGGGGATGTCCCTTGTACTTAATGGCAATGGAAAATATAGGAATGTGGATCAACATGGGACATCAGGACCACCCAGAAAGAGACTTACAACAAGTTGTACTCTAACCACGGTAATCAAAGTGAGAATCCATGAATACAATGCAAAAACTGTCCACGTGCCCCAGACAACAGTGTGCAGCATAACTAAGAAGGATGTCTGTCTAGAAAAGTGACACAAGTTGCTTCCACGACAAATCAGTTCAACTGTCGCATACCTCAAGCTGCTGAAGAATGAAACCGGTATTCATGCTATTCTATATTAAGATATATCAAGTCAAATCGCCAAACAGCACCTATGGATTCCTGAACAAGCAGACTTTTGAAAGGGGCGCAAAGAAACGTTATCCTCGTACGACTGGGCTTTTTTGCAAAAGAAATTGCGTTGCAAGGCTGTTACCAAGATTGACAGTTGTCAAGTAAAACATGATCGGAAGTAACGACACCGATTTTAACGACGTGGTGAGGCTCCAAAGTGATTGCAAACATAAATATAGGTATAATCTAATATTTTTATAAGTATTAACTATATCTAACATATAATAATTACCATAAGATTTTAAAGGTTCTTTAATGTTATTTATCTTAGGTGGACCAGATAAAGCTAATAATACTTTTAACTTTTTTTGCTGTTAAAAACAAAGCTACACAGTAGGCTACCTATGGTCTGCCAACCACGGGTATTAAAACCCAATTATTAGCGATATAAGCCCTCGTTGTAATCCCATCTAATAATTAAAAACAAAACGGTGTCTACATACATTTAAAATATTCCTTGATTTTTCATTGAAACGTAAATAAGTAAAATAATTTTAAAACGTGAATATTTCCAGTAAAGTGGAGGAAATATACCAGTTAATGACTAAACAAGAGGGAAGCCTCAATAGCCGCGGCACTTGAAATTCTTTTAGGCAGGATTAGAGTAAATTAATCTATGAAAACTTGAGCGTGGTCAAATACATCAATCGAAAGGGTTTGACCTTCTGAGTCCAAAACTGTAATTAGATCTCACGACGGTCAAGAGATGACGGAGCTATGAGATAAAAGTTTGTACTTGAAAAACACAAAAAATCTCAGAACCGTTCTGTAAGCCGCTATGCCGCGGCTAACAAAAAAGAAAGAAAAAGATTATATAAGGAATACAAGTGTAAACTGACAAAACAAGAGGTTTTCTGAGGCGTTTCTTTAACATTAGTAGATGAACTATTACATTTTACTTTAGTCTTACCAACAGTAAAAAACACCAACAAAAAAAAAGATGTCATGTCTTTCTATTTTCTTTACTTAGCAGTAGAGGTGAAATTTTTTCTTATGTCATGGTGAAGGTAATGGCTTCACGAACACTTCGTTATGTACAACGTTGGCTGGCTGTATAAAGCTTTGTGTACAGACATGTGCTCGTTGAGATCTTATTCTAAATTTAGTTAGACGCGTGCCGCACGAGGATATAAGAATTCATCTCGTATCAAAGGTATTTGGATGTTTGTTTAACGACTAGCCTTCGTTAAAAAAGTGTGGTGTGGAAGGAGACATTACGTTCCTTATCGTTTTCCAGAGTTATCTGAGCCGATGTTTATATTTAGAATACTTTCTTTATACTCACTAAAGCAGTGCACGTGAACAACTCTACTTTTAAACCCCTGGGTCACAGGATATAAAACATACCCAGCTTGCGTTTCAAATTGTATCACGATAACTTTACGATTATTAAACTGTTAACGAAAGTTTATTTGAAGTTTTTCATATTTTATTTTATAAGACCCCATTAAAAAATATATATTCGAATATTTTGTTTTACTAACACTAGATGTCACTAGTTAAGAAAAGTTTTTAGGTTCAATTCCTGAATGTTTAAACCACAAAATTGCGACTTTTTAAAGAGAGCATGAATTTTAGTTAGAATAAGCACGTGACAAGCCATCTCAATGCTACGATCATTTGATTGGCATAACATAGAGGTTTCTTACTTCAAAAATAAACGAATGAATGAAATGTTAGTACGAATTGGTTAACACTAACACAACACGTAACTGCTACACTTAGAGCACATAGCAACAACAAAAGTTATTACTTTACACTTCTTTGACATACGATGGTGACATTTTAAAACTGAAAATAAACGCCCTTTTTTCAATGGCTCCACGGGCCTGCTACGCTAAAAATCGGATTTCGATACCGGTGGTGGACAGAGCACAGATATCCCATTGGGTAACTTTGCGCTTAACAAAAAACAAACAAATAAAGGCTAATAAACGAAAAATGAAATTAACCTAAAATATAAAGAAATTTAAAGGTATGCAAAAAATCATATTATTCAAAAAGCACATTGCAAATCGAGTTTGTTTTTGTTTTTTTTGCAACCATTTTAAGAATTCTTACTATTTAGTTGTTATACAGGATTGCTCTCTTTAATTTATAATTAACCGCTTAGTTCTCATTTATATACTTATCTTTTTTATTAGAAGTTATTAAAACAAACTGATATGTTGTTAACGCTCGAAAGCGTTACTGAAAATAGACACTACCGTCTCATTATAACTGTTACTGAAAGCGGTAATGTTTGTTTTATCTGTCAGTAACAGTTATAATGAGACAAAAG